GACTGTATTTCTTTCATGTGTGTCTCTTGAACAACTTCTGGAAGTGGAATTGCTGGTCACAGGTAATTCAATGGATATTGCCAAATTACCTTCCACGGCTAGCACCTGTAGTCCCAGCTACTTGGGAGGCTGAGGCAGGAGGATTGCTTGAGCCCAGAAGTTCGAGGCTGCAGTGAGCTATGATTGCACCACTGCACTCCAGCCATCTGTGTGAATTGGGGCCAGTTCAGTGCTTCACTTAACCTCAGTTTCCTCGTCTGTAAAATGGGGATGAAGTTTCTGTCCCCACAGGACACCAGGGAGATCTCAAGACGGCAGCACCAGCATTGGTGTGCCTGCTCCCCTTTCTGCAGCTAGGTTGTCGTAGTTGTTATTTGATTTGCATTGGGGCCTAAAGCAGCACTGGTCAGAGGGCCATTCTGCTTAAAGCATGATTTGCTTAGAAATGTATATTCCCAGCCACTGGGTTTTTAGCAATGGGGCAATTTTATAACCTCTTATTCATCTTTAAGCATTTTGTCACTTTTTCCAATTTGAGAGGGGATTTTCTTCAATTTTATGTCTCAACTTTTTTTGGACAAATATTAAACCTACATAAAATATACAAGAATAATTCAGTGAACACCTGGATGTCTTTTGCCACATTTGCTTTATGTTTCTTTCTCTCTCTCTGTCTCGACATTTATAAAGGGAAATTTGAAAGTAAGCCAGAGACATGAAGATACTTCATGCAAAATGTTTCCGTATGTATCTCTCGAGAACAAGGATATTTCCTACAATGTAGGACCTACATAACTACAAGACCATTAGCACATTCGAGAAACTTAACATTCGTATAAGGATGTTACCTAATGTTAAGTCCATATTCTCATTATCCCAACTGTCCCGCTATACCCTTGATGGCTGTTTTTTTTTGTTTTTTTTTTTTTTGAGACAGAGTCTCACTGTGTTGCCCAGGCTAGAGTGCCGTGGCGTCAGCCTAGCTCACAGCAACCTCAAACTCCTGGGCTCACACGATCCTCCTGCCTCAGCCTCCCGGGCAGCTGGGACTACAGGCACGTGCCACTGTACCCGGCTAATTTTTTCTATTTTTAGTTGTTTGGCTGATTTCTTTCCATTTATAGTAGAGACGGGGTCTCGCTCTTGCTCAGGCTGGTCTCGAACTCCTGAGCTCAAGCGATCGTCCCGCCTCGGCCTCCCAGAGTGCTAGGATTACAGGCGTGAGCCACCGCGCCCGGCCCAAAACTTTTTTAAAATAAAAAGATTCACATTAAATTAAGAGATTAAAATTAAATTGAAATGAACAAAAGTCCCCCCACTCCTGTCCCCAGCCCCTAGGGTTTCCTTCTGAGGTGACCACTGTTAGCAATATCTTGTGTCTCCAAGAGTGTGAGAGAGTTGTATGATTATACTGGCAACTACATACATACGTATCTGCTATCCCCTTTTCGTGCGTTAGGGGGGCATCTCCTCTATCTATCTATCTATGTACTGTTAAGGTTGTATCTTGGAATTCAGCTCACATCAGTTTGTTGAATGCTGCCTGATTCTCTTTACCACTGTATTTCGTTGCGTGGACGTGATAATTTATCGTGCAGATCTCTTGTTGCTGGGCATTAAGGTTGTTTCCCATCTCGTGCTATTACAAGCAGGGCTATAGGGAACAACTGGTTTATCTATTGCAGTCTTGTGTTTGTGAAAGATGGGGATATATTCTGAAAAATGCGTCATTAGATGATTTCCTTGTTGTGCAAACGTCATAGAGTGTACTTACACAGACCTAGATGGTAGGGCCCATGACACACCTAGGCTGTATGGTACAACCTATTGCTCCTGGGCTACAAACTTGCGCAGCATGTTACTGTACTAAATACTGTAGGCATTTGTGATACAATGGTAAGTATTTGTATATGTAAACATAGAAAAGGTACAATAACAATATGGGATTATAATCTTATGGGACTATCATGGGTCCGTCATTATATGGCGCATGACTGTATTTCTTTCTTTCTTTTTTTTTTTTTTTTGAGACAGAGTCTCACTCTGTTGCCCTGGCTAGAGTGAGTGCTGGGGTGTTAGCCTAGCTCACAGCAACCTCAAACTCCTGGGCTCAAGCGATCCTCCTGCCTCAG